AAATCTTAACCTTTAATCCTCCTCACCCTCAGGACGGACAACCTCCTAGGTTCCTTAGATCCTATCAACTCGTCAAACAATACCACAGCTGTCACTCCAGCAGCAGCAAACTTTGAACAGATCATTGACTTGGGTCAGACCAAGCTTAGTAATGAGGATGCAGTTAACAGCAACCCTCCTTCACCATTTATAGCATTTGAGCAGAATTTGAACAAGAAGCAGAGTCAGGATAATACAAGCACAGTTCCAGGTATGAATCTGAATATCCCTCTCTCATTTGTATATCTATTGTTTTCTGCTATGCTCGATATCTTGTATTTTTGAGAAAACCTAGAGTTGATCTTTTAGTGATACTAAAACATTCATAAAATCAGTTATGTTACAGTAAATGTATATCTTCTTTCCAGATCTGTTGCTGTAAAATCTGCAGTTTTGTTCATATTCTTGTATGCTGCCTGAGTGTGATTATGAGAAACTCCAAATGTGATAGTAGCACTGGACCTTTGAAACTCAGCCTTGTGTGGTTGAGAAATTGGAAGGCCTCCCTCCATCACCCAACTCACAAAAGGGGTTAAGGGTTCAGTTCCCAATGCCTCAGCCTCTCGTAGTGTGGCTTTTGTGCGAGTGTGATACAGAGGATCTGTTTAACGTTTCATTATCACTTGGCCTTTCCCCAGTCAAAAAGGAAAATTAGTTGCCTTAATTGGTTTTTATAGTGCCAGCATTTGTGACTTGCTGAAATATAATGTAATACAGTGTGTACATGCAAGTACAAATGCTGATAAAATGCTGGTTATAATCCTCATGTAATGTATCAATAGTCTTCTCAGAGATCTGTCTTTCCAAAGGTTAGTATCCTGTAGTATGAGCCAAAAGAATTGCTTTACAGATTTAACAGGCAAGAAGAATATTATGACTGTGTTATAGCAGTGTGTTCTGCTCTCCAAAATAGATATTATCCATATTCTTAATAATTCTATGACAGTAGATTGAATGCAAAATGTGCTAGTTATACTTGTGCTAAAATATATACAGAATAATTGACAGTTGTGTAATATTAACAGTGAAAGAAATATGTATAATATATATAAATATATATCACCTCCATGTTTTAATGTTATAAAGTTGTCCTTACATGGATTAAATTGAGCAAGACCAGTGTTTTATAAAGAAAAAAAGAATCTGTCATATACTGAATGGGTGCTAGTTGGTGTAGCAGGCTTGCCATGAATAATAATGAAAGAGAAAATTATATACGTACAGGTCCCTACAATCTGAAATAAATATAAAAGGCTGCGGTGCATGATAATTGACCAACTTCAATCAGTAGTCATATTGAGAATGACCTGTTATTTTAGGCTCAGATGATATTTTGGGTGACCTTGGGGGAAAACATTGTTTATCTGTAAGGGTTATGAACCAGTCCATACATAATATACATGTATTGAATTTGGTCTTTTTTTAAGTTTTATGAGTACAGTATCTTTTGATTGTGGTAAAGATAACTTTTTGGGCTTGGTGATAACTGACAGGTTATGCTAAATGACCATTCACTAATAAAACCATGTTCTCCACTACATAGGCAATCCCCGCTTGGGAATTCAGCTTCATGGCTGCTACTCACAAGTTATAGTGAAATTGTATTTTAGACTTGTTGATAACCACTAATAGTACTATATTCACCAGCTCTACTCCATTCTACATTTCTATCTGTAACAATGTGTTTCTCCATCATTTGCTTTGACAGATACTATGTATAAAGTCATTATCTTGTATTTTTAGGTATTAGGAATTGCTGTATGAAGTCATGTTTTCCCATCTGAGTAATTTTATTTATGTAGATTAAGGTTTTTATATTTGAGTTGCATTTACCCACGGTGCACCAAACTTTAAACAAAAAATTATAAAAACTATAAAAGTTGGCCCACTTGCCTTTGTTATAGTCTCATTTATATTTTATTAAATGCTCAAAGATATCTTTCCCATTTGCTTTTATGTCTTATTCAGTTTCATGTCTAATGGATGTAATTCACAGATACAAGATGGTTACAGTTTCAAAAAGAAAATGAAATCAATATTAGTGGCTTTCTGCCACGTCTAACCATGTTTCTTATGCCATTATAAATAACCCAATCCTGTACACTAAAATTCCTTGTATTTGTAAAAGTGCTATATGTGGTATAAAAATCTACCAGTTAATAAAGACAGCCTTTTTTTAAGAATCCTTCAGTTTATAGGGTGTTATGATTAGAAACATAACTTATTTTACTTTGTAATCCTACATCATTCAGTGTTCCATTATATGGCTAGGAAGCCTGTTAACAATGGTTGATGCAGTGTACTCAATTAAAGCAAATACTGTGTTTAAAAAACTGCAAAATGTACAAATTTTAAAAGATAGCATACTCAGGAAAACAATGATATATGTAAGACCTAAGAAAGAGGCATATTATTACCAAGATACCCTACAAAATAGTTGTTATTTGAGTACATTGCTACTTCCAGCCTAATGTATACTTTTCTGATTTTATTTAGAAATATAGTTCATCAATCATTCATAGTAATGTACCAGCGATGTATGCATAAAGTGGCACTTGCAACACATCTGTTGTCACTTTGGCATATATATTGTAATTTCCCTTCCTGTGTGAATTCAATATTTCATCATGCATTTATAGATATATTTTATACTCAAATATCCAGATTATGAAAACGCATTATTTCGGATCAATATTCATGACAATTATTGGTGAGCTGTTTCACATTCCAGGTTTCCCCACATATCTCAGTTTTATAGATTCATGAAACATCCCCATGTATATGGAAAAAAAGTCTCTATGGTACATAATTTGCTCTGCCAATGACCCCTCTTGTAGTTGCTTTTAGCAATTATTAATTACTTACCCTCTAATGACTATGTATTATTATCCCCACCTATATTCTCTCTAGTGCCTGAAATTTCTATCACAGTCCTGACAATGTTTCATAAAAAAATGTATTCAAACATTTGATTTCTTTAGAATTTAGTTCCCTTCCAGAGTAAACTACTTTTCAGCAAATGTTGAATATGATACTGAGAAGAGATTGAACTATTAAGAAAAATATTTTAATTGTCAGGGCTAAAAAAGTTCTCAAACCACTTGCAGCTGAGGTGATGTGAGTCTAAAGCTTTTTTTTTTTGTGTGTGTGGGGGGGGGTGTGTATATTTGGAACTCTTGACTATTCATTTGGTGGTTGCTTGTGACACAATAAACTATTCAAAGCTTGCTTCTTGTACATTGGGAATGCAGTGTTAGATTGGACACTTAATCATAATGAAAAAATATGAACATTTAGTGCCTCTATAGAAACAAAGAAAAATGTAAGGCCACAGATGTAAAAAATGAACATAATGCTGCATATTTGTCATGTTTGTATGCATATTTGTTTAAACAAAGTAATACTGATCTATTCATTATGATGAAAACTTATATTACATTTCTTAAAAAATCATTAAATCAATATTGGTTTTACAGCTGTATACTATATTGGTTTTAGAACTGTTTTATAGTGTAGAAATTTTTTCTAATTAGTCAAACTTACATTCTAAGAACTGTCATCATGAGAAGTAAGAATTTTTTTAAGGTACTTTATTCCTATTACATAGGAATTTCTTTATCAGAACTCCATAGTTTTTTCACTTTAAATACACCTTGTGCTAGCTAGACTGATGCTCTACTTGTTGCTAACATGCATTTGATGAACTTATGTTGGCCTGCAGTTAGGAGCAACTCATATTTGCGAATCCATATTGTAAATCATAATAAGATGCTCATTAAATTGTAGCAGTAATACTTATGGCTTGTATGAAGAGAAAAAAATACTTCAGCCAACTTACTGAAAACTATATACAAGTTATAGATATATATGCATATACATGTTTAATTAGCATAAAGTATTAGACCCCCGGACACCATTTTTAAATGACCTGACATATTGTGTCATAGCGTGACGCACGTGCTAAAAACGAGGTATCATTCATTGCTTGTAACTATGTGGAACTATCATTGAAATATATATATATATGTGTATGTGTGTGTGTGTGTATACATTTTTTTTTTTTTTATAAATAAACTTTGACAATTCGCATCCCTTCCCTGCAGAGCATGGTGAGGATCTTCGGGAAAGGCTAGATCAACAGCAACTTGAGGTGTCATAGTGTCTGATTCTGTTTTGGGGAAAAAAGCACATAGGGTTAATTTTGATGATGCCACAAAAGTTATGGATGCTTTGTGAATATGGTCGAACATTTAGATCCCTTCAATTTTAAAAAAGGATGGAAAATAATGATTTTAATGGTCATATTTTCATTGAAAATCAAAACAGACGCCATGACACCTCTTCTTCTGGTACCCTCACCTAGGAGTGACTAATACTTTCGTTAAAAGGGGACCAGATGCTTCATCATTCTCCAGTAAGTCAATAATGAATACACAATCATATGTGAAAATTTCATGCCAATCAGATGAATAAAAAAAGAAAAGAAAAAAAGAAGCTGATATCTTGAAATGATGTTTTTTGCACATCAAATAATTTCACAAAATTGGCAAAAACTCTAATCGACTTATGTCGATCTTCAACAAAAGTTAATTTTTTTTAGTAATTAGATTTTTAAATTTGTCAAAGAAAACGGGATTCAGTGTAAGGAAGGAAACTAGAGTGGCAAAGTCTGGAGTGCTCAAGTGTACATGTTCCCTAGCCAATTCCTCATTTATTCCTTCTATCAGTGGGGTCATATTACAGAACAAGATATTGAAATTGATATCCAACGGCATGCTATTTCCTCAGGCCCCTAATCCCATCCTCTCAATACCTTGCTTGTTGTTGCTGTGGGGGACTTAGGAGACAGAGACTGGAGCCCAATGTAGGGATTGCCCCTATCTTGGACTTCATCCCTCACCTTAAATAATTTTGCTTTGTCTTTTCTTCTCCTCCTTTCCTCTTCCGTATCTTATTCATCCCCTTCTATCCCATTCCTAAGATGTGAGAGCCGTGTTGAAAGGTCTTCTGACCCCTGCCTCTCCTTTGACCACGGCTCTGCCGACTGATACTAATACCCCCTCCTTGACATTTATTGATAACTCTGTTCATTCTGGACCACCCATGCAGGTTATTACTCAACCTCCAGAATGCACCCCTTCAGTAGGTCTTGGAGTCTCTTCCTCAATGGCTATCCCCTCTTCCCTTATTACTATTTTCATCCTCCCCCACACACACATAACTACTCCACTCTACACCACCGCATCTTCCTCTCGCCCTCATCCTACTGCTGCCTCTACCTTTGCAAACCTTTTGAGTACTCTCTTTGGCCCAGCCAAGTGGGATCAATTCTTTGTGATTTCCCCCACAGCCCCCTACTCTGAGAATAACCTTCTCTTTCAACAGTGCCTCCAGAAATATGGTGGCAAAGTTACCTTTCGCAGTCGCTCTGATCTTTCACGCCCAGTCACAGTTACATCTGAATCCCAAGCTCGTGCACAATCTCCCCCAACTGACCTTACTGACAACCCCATTCCTGCTAAGTCTGTCTCTTAATACATGGACTGGAACTGTTTCTATCCCCCTGACTGTTTGTCACATATTTGACAAGAACTAGTCAGAGTGTGAAATGACTCACTTACCTGCCTTGCTGATTATTATGCAGTAGCAGTACAGTGCTATACTATTCATCCCAGAGGCCAGAATAAGTCCTATGCCAATATTGCCAAGATTAATTTCCATAGACATGACCTCCCCCATGAAGTTTATATTGGTGGATTGTCCTACCATGTCCAACCGTATCGACCCCTTACCCATAAATGTCTGAAATGTTGGCGTTTTGGCCATCCAGCCAAACACTGTTGCTCCACAGTCTGCTGCCTTCTGTGTGCCCAACCTGGTATTGACCGTTCAAATTGCCCTGCTCAGTCATGTACTTGTGCCAATTGTGGAGACACCCATAATGTATGTTATAGGAGCTGCACTGCCTATAAGTTTGAATGTTAGATTCAAACTAGGCCTCACTCTATGTGAGGCTAGGCAGAAAGCATGATGATGAGGTTTTTCTCTCACTACCTATTCTAAGACAGTTCTTCGCTCTGCACCTCCTCCCCCAATCTCCACAAAATATTTCTGCATCTCCCCTAGTATCTCTTCCCACTACCCTGAACCCTCTCTCTTACCTCAGCTTTCCGTATTCCCCAGTCAAATCCCTTTCCAATTTTAAATCCAGATACTCCAATCTCTACCACTTCTTCCATTCCTACTCTTCCTCCGCCACACTTTACAAGTCACACCAGACAACCTAAACGTTCTACTCTATCTTCATCTTCCACATCCTTTCCTATTCTGCTCCTCAAACATCTACCCCCTCTTCTCCTCCTCACAAGAGATTCTTTGTTTCTAGGACCTCCCTACCCAAATCCCCTCCAGAAACTCTTGAAGACGTCCAAAAATTCCTAGACATGACCCAAGAAAATGGGTCATTCCCCAGACTCTTCTACTACTTCTCCACAAGCCATCTCTACCTGTATTACCCGTTGATTATTTCATAACAGCTCTTTTACCAGTTTTTCCTTAAAGTAATGTTACTCTAGCTTCTCCAACAACAGATACACCCCATTCCATCCAACTGCCCTATATCCTTAATCCTTTCCTTTATTAATGTCTGATTTACATCATTTACACCTCCTCTTTACCCTTTTCCGTATCATAACACTCTTTATACTAATCATTAACTCATTTACCCTTTTCACCACAATACTTTACCACAGTGTGTATTTGTTTCAACTATTAACTATTAACCCTAATCCCATGCCCATTGTTATTGTGGATGTGCCAAGGCCCAATGTTGGGGATTACCCCTACCTTGGCGCTTAGCACTCAGCTCAATCAATTTTGCATGGTCTTTTATTCTCCCCCTTTCCTTTTCCTTCTATCCCCCCCCCCCCCCAGTCCCTTGCCTGTTGATGGAGACTAGGAGATGGAAACTGAGGCCCAGCACTAGTGATCTCCCCTACTTTGGGCCTCATCCCTTGGCTTAACTCATTTCCATATCTTTTCCCATCCCTTCCCCTGCCAATTCCTGAAGTGTGTGAGCTGTATTGAAAGAATGAAAGACTGATTTTGTATCAGTCATGAATGTTCATGACGCACAAATTGTCTAACCCTTACTCCCCATGGTCA